GCGGTTTGCCGACCACGGGTCTAACCATCAAGTCCTATCCACGTGGCCCAAAGCTGGGCGGCACTCGGAAGGCAGGGGGCTCAGGAGGCCCCGTTTCGAGCCTGCTCAGAGGACCGGCCGCTCCACAGAAGACTTTGCAGCATGAGGATAACTTCTGGTGCAATTAGAGAGGAACTATCTACTCACCAAAGTCTGGGAAGACTCAGCAACAATCCCGAGTCTGTAGAACGAAAGGCAACAGCCCCAGGGACAGACCTGAAAAGCGTGAGCCCCGCTTTCTCACCAGAGCGAGACCCGCTGGGTCCGTGGCGATGATGGATGTAACGGCACGACGTTTTCCTAATAAAACACCACAGACGCTCGGATTGGGTGAAACAAAAACTAAGATGCACAATCCAGCTGAGCAGTGCTCACAAGAAATAAACATCAAACCAGGGGACACAAAAAGTTTAACAATAGATTGTGCCACGTTGTCAGAGGCAAGTTCAAGTTGTTAGGATCGATAAAGACTACAAGTCAGAATGAAGAGCTGACGGTCATGAGCTTTTACGTTCAAGACAGCAGTAGACCCAGCCAGGGGGAGAGGTACCTTAGATATGTGCAGAAGGACAAACAAGAAAAGCCACCACCCCTAGCTGGTTTGGCTCACTGGATAGAGCGTCAGCCTGTGGACTGAAGGGTCCCAGGTTTGATTCCAGTCAAGGGCACATGCCTGGGTTGCAGGCTCGATCCCCAGTAGGGGGTGTGCAGGAGGCAGCCAATCAATGATTCTCTCTCATCATTGATGTTTCTCTCTCTCTCTCTCTCTCCCTCTCTCTCCCTCTCTGAAATCAATAAAAGTATATTTAAAAAGAAAAGCCACCAAAGAAAACTTAGCACACTCCTGTCTGACAAATTTAAATAGTACCCCTGCGCCCATGTTTGTGTCGGATCAGAATAATATAATTAACAAGGTTGATTTAATAACTGAATTTTGAACCCTACAAATAAAAGGCACTCCTTTCTTCGCCAGGGCCCATCAAACATTTATGAAAATGGATCATATATTAGGCCATAAAGAAAAGTTCAACATACTCCCCAAAGCAGCTGTCGTGGTCACTCTCTGACCACAGTGCACTTAAGCCAGAAATTATTAACAAAAGTTTAAATGAAAAAGTCAACCATTTGAAAATTAAAAACCACTTCGGTAAATAACTCTAAATAAAACCCACGTGACAGACGATTAGGAAAGAGCCCTGTGAACACCACACATCCACACTTATGGGAAGGTGGTTAAAAGGTTACAGGGAGGCCCTAGCCAGCTTGGCTCAGTGGCTAGACCAGCCGTGGGCAAACTACGGCCCGCGGGCCGGATCCGGCCCGTTTGAAATGAATAAAACTAAAAACAAAAAAGACCGTACCTTTTTATGTAATGATGTTTACTTTGAATTTATATTAGTTCACACAAACACTCCATCCATGCTTTTGTTCCGGCCCTCCGGTCCAGTTTAAGAACCCATTGTGGCCCTCGAGTCAAAAAGTTTGCCCACCCCTGGGCTAGACAGAATTAGCCTGCGGACTGAAGGGTCCCAGGTTCAATTCCGGCCAAGGGCACATGCCTGGGTTGTAGGCTTGATCCCCAGTAGGGGGCGTGCAGGAGGCAGCCAATCAATGATCCTCTCTCATCATTGATGTTTCCATCTCTCTCTTTCTCCCTTCCTCTCTGAAATCAATAAAGAAATATTTTTTTAAATGTTACAGGGAGGGAAATGCATAGCGCAAGGTTGTGCATTTCTTAAATAAGAGGGGTTGGAAGTCAATAAAGATAAAACACAGAATTTAATAAATTAGAGAAGACAATAGGAATAAAAGACAAACCCATGACTTGGTTTTTTTTGGAAAGTCTCATAAATTAGGTAAACTTCTAGCAGATCCAAAGATAATAAGCATCGAGGGAAGCATGCACAAGCATAGGAACCCAAAACTTTTTAAGTAAAGCCTTATGATAATAAATTTGAAAATATGAATAGGCAGGTATTTTTGTAGGAAAACACATAGAACCAAAACCAATTCAACAAGTAGGAGAAAACCAAAAAAACCTATTACAACAGAGTAAATTGAAAAGGTGGGGAGAGCGCTGCTTGCTTGAGAAGTGCGGGTCCTGACACTCTCACTGGCAAATATTCACATATTTCAAATGTTCCGTTCCGGGGCCCAGGAAAACGGGCAGCCGCCCCAGCTCGCTTAAGAATGTAGCTTGACCCTAAAGCGAAGAATCGGCAGAAAGCACGAAACTGCACACCGGTTCTGCTTAGGAATATGATGAAAATCCTAAAGAAAGCACCAGCTAGTTATCCTGGTTGAGACTCTGTGGGTCACAAGAAACAGAAATCTGCTCACGTGAGCTCAGGAAAGTGGGTAGATTGCGCCTAAGGATCCAGAGACGTCATGGAATGAAAGGGGGATGTGCAGCCAGGCCGGGGTGAAGACGGAAGTCATCAGGGCCTATGCGCCTTCACCTTTATACACTAGCCCAGTGGTCGGCAAACTCATTAGTCAACAGAGACAAACAACAACAGGACAACGATTGAAATTTCTTTTGAGAGCCAAATTTTTTAAACTTAAGCTATAGAGGTAGGTACATTGTTATTAACTTAATTAGGGTACTCCTAAGCTGGCCTTTGCTAAAAAACGTCCTCAATCTGATTGAGGTATGTTCGCTGAGGTCGACCCCTTCCAACTCTCCCATCCACACTGGTCTTGTATAATTGTTTCAGATAGACGAGTATCAATGGGAGAGTTGGAAGGGGTCAACCTCAGCGAACGTACCTCAAAACAATGTATCTCCCCTGCACCGCGTCT